CTCCTAACAACCAGTCCAACTTCTTAGTACTTCATGAAAATCAAGCTCTATAAACATATTAACTTTTGATAGGTCATTACTTTTTCCTCTTTGTTGTGTGGGGAATATCCTATTTTCTCTCTCATCTCTTTCAAAAAAAAACTTTTATGCTCATGGAAGTTTTCTGTCAGAAGAAATGAGAACCTTTCAAGAACTTTTAGTTATTTCAGGGGTTTAAATGGGGGAAGAGCGAGCTGACTTTGTGCACTGATGATTATGTTGGTCCTGGTAAAGCCATATGTAGAAAGAATGGAAAGATTTTTAGAATTACTCTTTCTTTTTTAAAAGTCTCCCACTGATGAATCTTTCATCAAAACAAACAGACAGAGATGTCCCCTCTGGTGATGTGTGCACAAAGTCATTCTCTTACTTGGCATTCATGGGGATGACACCTTTGGAGCCGACACCAACAGGAATGTGGTCAAACATAGCCTGGGCAAGCTGCTCTTTCACAGGCTGCACATCACTTTCATCCAAATTTGTACGCAGCAAGCGGACACCACAGTTGATGTCAAATCCTACACCACCTACAAGTGTAGAAAAAACCGTGACAGGGAACATGTACTGAATACTGTGATCTCACACTTTCTTTCTGAAACAATACTGGGAAAAAAAAGGCAGAACTGCATTAGGTTTCATTTTAACAGATTAACATAAAGCCTCAGATTTCAAGATATAGCTGTACAAGTATCTACACAGCTCTCTCTTTATGAAGTTACTCCAACAAGTAGACAAAAAGTAGACACAAATATAAAATATACTGCCCAGAGAAAGCAGAAAGGGATATCATGAGTCCAAGCCTCAAATGCAAGGGCAATTCTCCCTGTACTGTTTAGACATTCTCAGTGCAACCGCCCGCTCCATAAAGAATAAAGATTCTGAGTGCAAGAATTAAGCACCTCTTAAGCCCCTATAATTCTCATATTTTAGCTTTAGTTCTGTACATGAAGTACTAGAAAGTCCTGCTATTTTGAAGAAGTATTTTTATGCCATCCCAAGCATTTCTCAGAGCAGGTTAAGTCAGTCATCCTCACCTGGTGAAACCACTGCTTCTGGATCACTCATATCAAAGGCAGCCATGTTGCCGATGGCAAACCCATAGCCAGAATGGACATCTGGAAGGCCTATTGATCTCTGAAAGGGAATGAAGGCAGTTTTAAAGTTTTATGAAACTCAGTGCTGCAGAGTTACCTTGGTTATGCTTTGCCTTGTGGCAGGAGTTGTCACATTTGAAAACAAATATACCAAAAAGAGAATGGATCTTCAGATGTAGACGGAGTGAACACAACAACTCAGGCGAGTATCTGAACTCCTGCACTTATAGGGCAGACACTCAAAGAAAGCAGAGAGCAGATCTCACTCTGAAGCAAACACCCTGTGGCTAGTCAGCTGAGAAGCCCTCTTGACTCTATTGGCCAGATCTCAAAAAAATTTGGGAAGAGCTTAAGCACCTAAATGTAGGAACTGTGATCTCAAACTGAATTCTAATCTGGCCTTTTCTTGTACTCAAGACTCCTTGCATTCAAAACTCAGGCAGGCAATAGCTTTTGAGCAGCACAAAGCAGAGACATAAGAGTGAAGATAAGTTATTTTTACCAAATTTCATCTAGAGACATCTGCAATATTTAAATACTGTAAACACAACAAGGGAAGAGTTCAGTGATATGAAATAAATGTCAGCATTTTCTCTCCTTATCTGTGTCATCAACCCTGACCAAAGACTGCACCCTGTAGGGAGGAAAAAATCACCTTTTGAGTGAGATCCTGATGGGATAGGACAAGACAGGAGCTGTGGCATTTTAAATTTAGATTAGGACATCACAAACAGCACTCTGCAGTCTATTTAAGCAAACAAAAAAAGCCTCAGACACCCAGAAAGCTGTTAGAAATTGTGTGTTAAACTGCTACCATACATTAAAAAGAATAGCACTTTTCAATGGGATATTGTGCTTCTTCTGCCTCCCCTTGCCATCACCAATAAGTCTCTTGGAAATAAAAAGTGAAGATTTGAATACACAGGTGATTGTAGCATCTCTCCTACAAACTACCAGACGGAGTTCCTATTTAACAGGTTGTTACTATTCTACCTTACTCCCTTTTGGCTGCCCACTAAGGCATTTTAACAACATGATGGTCTGCCCTTTACTGCAGCCATAAACTCAAAACGTCTGCCAAGGGACCAAGGAAGACCGTTAAAACAATTCTGTTATTTGTTACTTATTAGTATTTGCAATATTGAGTGTGAAAGAGATCATTTCCACATCATACTTAACACTTCCTGAAAAGAGTCACAGCCTATTATTTTCCTCCTGCATTATCAGATCTGACACTTTGCTTCCAAAAAGGCATGGGGCAAGGGAAAGGAGTGTTCAGTGCATGGGAGGACTCACTACCCACATTAGGTCAGCAACAATAATACAGACAACAGTATCACCTCCTGCTCTCTCCTCACTCCTCCATGCATTCCAGGTCAGCAGAGGCAATTGAAAACCAACAAGCAGTCAATATGGACACTGATGGAAATGTGGCTCAAGCAAAAGGAAATAGCATAAACCAATGCTAAAAAAGCTTCATGTCAAAAGACAAGTAATGAAGTAAGTGGATGCTTCCCTTTCTGACAACTTAGTCTTGCAGCCTGCCCTTGCAAGCAGTTTACTCAGAGACAGGTTCTTAACACACAAACTGCCTTGAAAAGAACTTTTGTCCATATATCTTCTGAAAACAGTTCCCATTTGGAAAGCAATAATTTCGGGCAAATAGGAAGAGAAAAAGAGCAAATTTTCAGAGCAGTTACTCACGTGAACAATACCAGGTAATGCAGCCACATTCCCAATCTGTTTCATAGCAGGCAAGAAGCCACCTGCACCTGAAAAAGAGAAAAAAAAGAAAAAAAGTTAAACAATCTGATAACTTACCATGATAATCACAGTGAAGTGCTTTCTAAACAGACTGTTCAAAACACTGGCAATTTAGAAGTCAGCCACCAACAAGGCTTCTTATCTGGTGTAGAGCACCCAGTGACATGCACAATCTGAAGTTTCATTAAACGAGGTACTTATTACACCAAAGCCCAACCCGTGCTGTGTTTGTACCGATGGAGTGCAGTCTGCACTAACCACAGCAGTGTGTCACCACCAGCCCAGCTGTCAGATCTGGACCCATCCCTGCACTTCAGCCCCACACAGCACAGCCCTGGGCTGCAGTGCCATGGTCTAGTGGACACGGTGGCGTTCGGTCATAGGCTGGCCTGGATGATCCCGGAG